GGTGGATCATGGACCTAGGACTAAAACCAAGGACTATAAAATTCATTACAGAAAAGCTAGGAACAACACTAGAAGTCCTAATCCACAACATAACAATAACAATTGACATGAGACTAGATATCAAATGATGAAATTTTGTATGACCAAGGATTTATTTATTGTGAATACCTTTTTTTTTCAAAAACCAGAAAAAATTATTTTACTACACATGTCCCTGATGGAATCAAATTGACAACATCTGTGGAAAGAGATAGTGGGAAAGCTCAGTATAATAAGTCAGAACCAGGTTGAGGCTGGCTGTGGAAAAGACTGCCAGTTACTCTTAATGCAAGTTGACACTGAAGAAAATGAAATAAAATCTGAGAGAGAAAATAAAACTTTGACTATATCTCGCTTAAATTTAGAAACCATTTATGGGGAGAATGTTGAATGATGAAAGAAACATCAAAAGAATATGAGAGAAATATAGAGTCACTGAACAAAAGAAAAGGTGATCAACACTGAAACATATCAGGAAATAGCATATGATCAAGACCCAATGGTACTGAAGGCAGAATTTCAAGGTACAGTGATGTGCCAAATATGATAATGGTTACCCATGGTGGACAGTGTTTGGTGGAGCTTCCTGATTAAAACTTGGAAGCAGGAGAGGCATCCACTTCTGAAATGGCTTGCCTCCAGAAACTCTATGAACAGTGCTCAGACCTTCCATTCATAGGGTCGCTATGAGTCATCTACGACTCGACAGCACCTAACAACAACAGTTTTGTATCGTTTCTAATTTTCCATTTATTTTGTCAACTTATTCTTGTCTCATTTTCTTATGTTTTTCTGGAGTTTTGTCATATCTATTATCTGCCTCCCTTGATGACATGGCGCTCTGGTACCCTAGTGGCAAGAAGCTGTGCAGCAATCCCAAAGACAACAAGGTTCAAATCCACTAGCTACTCCACAGGAGAAGGGTGGGCTGTCTCCTCCCATGTGATTCACTGTCTCTGAAAACTCTCTAGAGGGTCACCTATGGGTCAGTTCTAATTCTACAGTACACAACAACAACCACAATACTTCACCCCATCCCCCACCCTGGTGGCTTCCTTGAGTTTTTTCTTAATCTACTAAAAGTATCTAGGCATATGTCTTTGAATTCCTAATCAGATAGTTTTAATGGCATTTCTTCTTCTGAAAGGCTTTCTGGCTCTGTGTTTTTATAACTTGTTTGATCATTTTATGCTGGTTTTGTGTGTGACTTAAAGAGCTCTGGTGGTGTGGATTGCACGGGTAGCTCAAAGGCTGTGCGTCTCCTGAGGCTAAAATCCACCAGAGACATCTTGGGTTAAAAGATGGACAGTCTCCTCTGTTATGATTTGCAGCCTCAGAAACCTGATGGAGGGGCACTATAAGTCAGTCCTAAATGAACAGCAAGTGAGCTTTTTGAGGGAGTTGATACTAAGATACTGTTCTAGGTGTAATTTTATTAATAAGTTTATTGCATGTTGGTTTGCTTCATCTTGATTTTTTTTTTAATGTTGTGTATCTGGACAATGAGTTGTACTCAATATGGATCGTTAGTTTGGATCGTGCCCTTCACCACCTGCCACTCATATGTGGGCATGGGTCTTTGATCATTGGTGAGCAGATCCAGAACTTGACTATAGTCTGTCATCAGACCAGCAGTGTTGAAGCTGATGATTGCACTCAACCAGGAGTGGGACATTCTCTGTGGTGCGAATGGCAGAGTACATACAGTTGTTGGTTTCCCATTTTTTTTGGTCATTGATAATCGATGTGGATGTTGGTGCAACCCTGAGTAAGCAGGGCCAATTAACCTGGTTAAAGGCTGCGATTAAAAGCTACTTACATTAACTCAGAATGGCCATCCTGTGCTGGTTTGCAGTTCACAGCCTCACTGTTTGCTGTTCTTGCCCATCTTTTGGTCTCATTGATATTATACCTCCTTCTTTATCTGATTCAAGTGTCAGCTATGTCCGTATCACTTGGTTTCTTAAGCCTTTATTTTTTTATTTTTTTTTTTTAATTTTTGGTGCATGGGCTGGGAAGGTTTCTTAAGCCTTTATTATGAAAGGTCTGGGTAATCTTATCTGCTTAACTTATCAACTTGAATCTACCCTCACTGGGTATTTTTTTATAAACAAATATAGAATATTAATCATAAATTATATTTTGAGTGATAATTTCTTTTTAGGAAGTCAGATGAAATTATGAATCACTACATTTTAGTAGTATCAAGGATATCTAGTAATATAGGTTACAAAGTTTCTAAATACACATTGCATAAGAAACCTAGTCCTCCTTCTTGAATGAATATATATATACTAGATAACTACTATTTTTGTAGACTAATCTGGTGGTTTTAAAATATATTAAACTGTATTAAACACTAGTAATGAGAACAAGATGTCATGAGGCAGAGGGAATGATTATCTAGAGCAATGGCAGTGAGTTTAGCTGTGTGAACTTATAATGTAAAACCTGTGGATATCTACCTTTTAGCTCTGTGGTGAGAGAATGCCTAGGTTCTGGTATATGCTTGGAATAAGCCAGAATCCTTAAGGGGAAGCGGAAAAGGTCAGTCACAATGGAGGACATACTAATTGTGTTCATCCCAAAAGGCCTAAAACTTAGAGAATGAAAGAAGCACAGGGGGGAAACTAATTAATGTTCCATTTATTTTAGTGTAAAAACTCCCTGAATTCCAGCAGGAAACCTTTGTCCCAGTGTATTCACTTGCTAGTTGTCATCAAGAAAATTGGGTATAAATTGTATTAATTGATGTCTCTTCCAACGGGAACTTACAAATTGCTAACTTTCAAAGCAAATCCAAATTGGGGGGAGGTAGGAATCATAACTTCAACTGCCACCTTCTTTTATTTTGTTTTTCTGTCTTTAGCCACCTTGTAGTAATCCAGGTACCATTTCAGCAACAGCCACACAGCTACACACTTGTGTGCCACCACTCATACCATACATCCCAGGTGCTTTGCAACGCAGACAGAAGTGAGGGTTCTGAGCCAGGCCCAGCTACTCAGAGACTCATTAACTTGTGTCCTATGGAGCTGAACTTAGTGAAAATAAATAGTAACCATGGCTGGATTCCCTATTGATAACCAATCTAGTAATCTTTTTATTTAAAAAATTACCATCTCCTGTTTTACACACTTGAGTTCTTTATACCTGAGACCAGTTTTGATACTTCCATTTATTTTAAAATTACATTTTCTTGATACACACCCTTAATCATAAAATAGTTAAAGCAGTTCAGCATTATAATGAGTCAGCCTGTGGAATGTGGAATTCTTAATCTAATAGCACTTTCTTGCATAAGATAGTTTGAATAGCTACAATTTCTACAGTTCATTAATCTAATTTACTAGTAGTCCATTAAAATATCGCCTCTTTAAACTTATTTGACCAAATTTTTGCATTAATTTTATAGTACAATTTGGTTGATTTGTTCAAGAAATTTTAATGAGGAAGTGTGTTGAATACAAATACAACTTATTTAGTCATTATTTGGTTCCTGGGAGATGAAAAGCAATTATGCTACTATTTTAACCTCCTCTGTGTTATAAAGTACTTAAATTAAACATCTCCATCCTAATATGATGGGGGAGATCAGACTGCCCTCCTGACCATTTGTGAGTAGCCAATTTAGCTGGAAAATTAAAGCACAGAATAAAAAGCTACCTAGAAGTGCTCACACAATACTATTGCTCATTCCCTGTTTCCTTTTTTCCCTCTTTTCTCCTGATATGTATCTTCTTAAAAGTGCCAATCAATGGTAAGTTCCCCATCTGCCCCCTGGAAGAGGTGTGGAGGGTGTGGGAGGTTGTGTCTGACCGGTAGAATATGCCCACCTAGCCCCTGGCTCTGTCATGTCTTGGCCTGCATGCTAGTTATCACAGAACGTTCCACGTGTGCTGTGTGCATCCACAACATCTTGCTGAGCTTTCTGATATCAAAGCATGCAACATGATTCATCAAAACCTCGTCCCTAGGCCAGATCCCCAGTCTTTGCTTTGATTTCATGTGTTAAGTCCACATTTTCATTGTTATCTTTATAAGTCAAACCATTTTGTGCACTTTTATTTTGCTCACAGAACATTTGTAAAGTTTATTTATTTCATCATACAAAACTGTGAACTTATCTTTGGAATAAAACAAGACTGGTTTTCTGCCAGGTCTTGATGAAGTTTCAGACTGAAACTTCCATAAACCTTAGTTAGCGCCAGAAGGCTAAAGGGCTTTGATCAATTACCTCTGTAAAAGCAATATGTCATTTGGGCTGCTTTGTGAAAGCAAAGACTCCTTCCTTATTCCGGTCAGTGATATCAGTCCCACTGAACTGTCTAAACACTGAACTTTTCCTTTGGTGCTGAGCCATCACAGAGCTAACTGCCGCTGGAGGCTGAGACGATGCCACGTGCAGCAGCGTTTGGCTTCTCAGCCAAAGGGTCCAGGCGTGCTGGTTCTACCTCACTTTTTTCATGACCTTGTATTTCCCAGATGAGACCCACACGATGACCAGTGACACCAGCAGCGTGGTTCAGTCACACACTTACAAGAAGCGTGAGCCAGCCGACGTGCCATACCAGACTGGGCAGCTGCACCCAGCCATCCGCGTGGCAGACCTGCTGCAGCACATCACACAGATGAAATGCGCCGAGGGATACGGCTTCAAGGAGGAGTACGAGGTGAGCACCCCACATGGCCAGACCCCTCCTTCTGACACAACGTTAGCACTATGGCACCCCATTCACCTGGGTAGCCCCATGGGGTTCCAAGATGGGCCAGACACCTTGCTTATGGACCTGTTCCCATGTGGCTGTGTATAATACCAAGAAGGTGCCAAGCGCTCAGTGGGAACACTGTACTCCACAGTCTCTGTATTGAGACAGAGGCCTCCCTCTTAGGCTTTTCCTGTATTTAAGTGTGATGACAAATCTAAACATTTTTCTGGAAGAAACTTTCCACCTAAAGTATAGACCAGCCTGTGGTTTGGTTGTGAGCAGCGTGGAAGCCTGACCGAGGTCATGGCCTCTGATGGTTGTTACTGCCTGCTCACCCAGTATTGTGTGGGGGCAGTTTCCTGGGCATTTCTAGGGACAGTGGCCACACCTTCCCCTTCACAGTCCCTGTCATTAGATAACCATGCTGGAGAATCACACAGGCCTGAACAGGGTAAATCCAGTACAAAGAAGCACCATCCTTGGTGGCTTGTGGATGTGCTTCTGTGTGACTAGAGGAACTAAGTCTCTTCCTGCATTTTATAACAACAAAGTAGTGTGCTTACTCACAGAATGAAATGGCATTACTTACTTCATCAGGTATGATTTTACAAACATTAAAATGTGTTTCTGCACTATGCCTACCTAACCAGCTTGTAGTTGGGAAGCATCTTATGTGGAATTAGGGTATTTTTTAAAATCAGCTCCTCCCACTCTTAGGAGTTTCAAGCTCCACTTCTTTTTCTCTTTTGAGGACAGTCTGATACTTCATTTTATGCCCCAGATACTCTGCTTTTGGGGATTGACTTCCTTTCCCAGCTCAAGTCACTTGAGGCCCATTATAACAATCAGCACATCACTTTGCGTGATGCTGACCATGCAGTCTGCCCTCCTGTGAACACAGGTGTCTGGTTCAGAGCAGGAAAGCAGCCAGGCATGCTTCTGCCCACCAGCCCGTGCTCCCAAGCATGCTGCTGACAGCTCTCAGGAAGACTGGAAATCCTAGAAATCAAACCAAACAATGTCCCTGGCTTTAAGTCCAAAAGTAGTTCAAAATGTGATTTTGCATTTTAAAAACCTTAAACTCTTAAGTTTAGAAAGAAAGAGCAGTGGGCCTAGAGGATGGAAAGCCATGCTCCCAAGCCAAAGCTGGGTGATTCTACTCCGCGGCCCTCAGGCCTGCCTTTAATTGTTTTTGGTGAAACATTCTTCTAGGTCGTGTAACCCTGGTGTGTCCATTTGCTGTACAGAGGTAACTCGTGGTTGCTGTGAAACCAAACACTTTGACACTGATGCATCAAATGCGAGAATGGTTATGCATGGTGGACAGTGTTTGATGAAGCTCCCTGATTAAAAGGAGCTTGGAAGCAGGAGTGGCATCCACTTCCATAATAGCTTGCCTCTGGAAACCCTATGAACCTGGAGAGAGGGCGAAAGTTATATAGGAGGTGTCCAGGACTTTCATTCATAGGGTCGCTATGAGTCGCCTGCAACTCAGCGGCACTTAACAACAACATAAACTTGAGTTTAAGGTTTTAAACTTTGAGGCTTAATGTCTGCATATTTCCTTTTGCACTTATAAATTATTTTTAAAGACTGTGTAGGATCTAATAGGATTAATAGGGTAAGATTTATAACAGTGTTCAAAACTTATGAAAGACAAAATTAAGTCATAGAAGAATTTTAAGACTAGTGGATAGGGGTGATGTCTTAGTCCTTTCCAATATTCTAAATGCAGATACTGACCAACTGTTTATTAAAGATGTCAATGTCAAAGAGACTGATTACGAACTCAAACAGCAATCCACAAAAGTCCTGTGTCTAATTTTCCTGAACTATTTTAAAATTTCTACCTTGGATATTTGTATAATAAACTATGTAGTTGTTGTTACATGCCATCAAATCATGTACTCAAGAGTGATCTTTTGAAAAAGATCTGAACCCTATTCTATCATGTGCCATTCTCACACTTCTTGATAACTTTTGAGCCCATTGTGGCAGTCACCACATCAGTCCACCTGGTTGAGGATCTTTCTCTCCTTCACTGACCCTTTGCCTTTCTGAGCATCATGTCCCTCTCCAAGGAATAGCCCTCCTAGCAGCATACCCAAAGTATAATATGCTATATATGATGCACATTTGAAAGTATATAGGAAATTATTTCCCATTAAAGTCTTCTAATAAATATAAGTGCAAACTAAAATAGCTTATGGTAATTTTGCACAGATTATAGATGATGCTTCATTAAGAGCTGTTGTTCTCTGAAATAAATTATTATTAACTAATTACATCTCAAAAGACCATTTCCCTCATCCCAGATATTCATTAGGTTAAAGAGGACTATTTTAAAGAAAACATTTTTAACCAACAGGACCATTAATTAAAACTGTAAAAATAGATGAAAAGATAGGAGAGGGATAAAACAAAGAAAGAAAATCTACCAGTGAGCAAACCAGGAGCGCAGAGGATAGTGTTCTAAGGAGAAAGAGAAGAAAACAGTTCTCTTAAGAAGAACCTCCAAGCATCAAGCCAGTTGCTTATCCCTTCTGTTCAGCTTCATGAGAGCTTCTGTGTGTTAAGAGGAGTGAGACCCACAGCATTTTCCAGGCTGTGACCTTGCAGAAGTGTAACATCATCCTTTTCTCTAAGGTGAGTTGGAATAGATATGAACCACTAACCTTTTCGTTGGTAGCTGAATGTTTAACTATTTGAATCAAGTTTCCCAATCCCTCCAGCCCCCCTGAAGAATACAGATGTTGGCAAGAGGCTTGAGGGGGACCTGTGAAAAGTGGTAACAGTGGTAGTGGACAGACAGACCTGGCTGTGAGTGCAAAGGACATACAACAGGAACACCTTCTGTGAGTCCTCACCTGATTGCCTTGCACTTACATTCTCAGTCAGGCTTCTGGAATTAACCATATAGCAAAAGTCCTAGGCAATGTAGAACGTTTATTCCAGTACAAATTGGAATATTGGGGGGCAGTTTTCTTTTAAAGTTCACCTAATTGTTAGAACTCTCACAAACACAGTTGAAGCTGACACTCTGCTGGCCTCTTGAGGACCACGGGTATTGTTTCCTCAGTTTCAGAAGGTGAAGTTGTCTCCTATTAGGTTTCAAGGAGTGAGACCAAGACCACTGAGGCTGAGAGGAACTACAGCAGTCATCTAAGCACAGCAGAGCTGAAGGTGGCACAGGATCAGGATGGTTTCGAACAGTTATCCACAGGGTTGCTGTGAGTTAGAATCAATGCAATGCCACATAACAACAGCAGTGCTTAGGGGGAAATTGGTCATTTCTAAGTAAAATACTTCTGAAATTGTGACTTTTTTCTAAGTTGACTCTCTTGATCCCATATTTTTCTTTATATTTTGCAAAGCAGAAATGTTTGCAAATGGATCTGAGCCTTGGAAAGAGTCATAGCCAAATAGGCAGCATCAGAGTATGTCCAGGAAAAGGAATCAGGCATGAGGCAGGGATGAGCCTGCAGAGTATTCAGTGTAAATGTTTTTATTTGATTTTGTTCTAACAAGATAGTCATATTGCACATCTCACCAGGGAAATGCAATCATTTCATTCAAAAGAAACTCAGACATGAATCACAATAAAGAGTAAACATGCAGGATTGAACCGAAAATGCCATGTTGTCAGTGGAGAGAAGCTGAGAGTCTCAAAAGGAAGAACAAGTGGAAAGGGCAGGTTTGTTTATGTTGCTGTAAAATGAGCAGCTCACTTCTTTTGCTCACAAGTCGAAAGGAGAAGTCCCCCTGGAGACATTCGTGTCATACCAAGGAGTGGATGCATGAAGTGGAGAAGGCAGAGTGCCACCTCGGGGGCCTGGGGTGGAGGAGGGCCCTAGGGCTCTGTGGACTGAATGCTTTTGTCTCCAAATCCGCATGGAGGTGAAACGGGGCCACACCTTTTCAGAACTGATCACTCCATGGTTCAGAGTAGTGTGCCACATATCAAAATAAGGACGGTTTCCCCATAGCCCTGGTGGTCTCTCTACTAGCCCTGAAAGAAATCCTGGTGACATGTTGTTGTTGTGTGCCATGGAGTCACTTGCAACTCAGCACAGTAGCTCTGAACCCTGTCCTATCCTGAGCCGATGTCACTGTCCCTGAGACCCCTACTCCCATTACACCAGTTACTGTGTCAATCCATCTCCTCCACGGTTTTCACAGCCACACATGTGCTGCTAAGGAGGCCTGCGCTCCACAGGCTTTTTAGTGACTGATCTTTGACTGGGATCCTTCAGGAACTTCAGCTGGATTGAGAGATAGCATATCCACAATCAGATGGCCCTTTACTGAAAGCAGAGAATATAAAAAAGATGCTTACTTAAGTTTTATTGGCCATGCAAAGGCCTCCAGCTGTGGTGATCATAAGAAATTATGGATGGCATTTAGATGAATGGAAATTTCAGAATACTTAGTGCTCTTGCAAGATTGGCACATAGACCAAGGAGCCGTTGTTCAGAAGAACAAGGGAACATTGCATGGTTTAAAATCAGGACAGCTCTAAATCAGGATTGTATCCTTGAACCTTACCTATTCAATGTCATGCTGAAAAAATAATCTGAAAAGTTGGACTATATGAGGAAGTGTATGGCATCAGGATTAGAGTAGGACTGCTCAACAACCTATGATATGCACTTGGCACAAACTTAACTAGAAAAAGTGAGAAAGACTTGAAGCACTTAACTGAAAAAAATCAAAGACTACAACCAGCAAAAACAGTCTTTCAGAAGCACATCACCAGCCTATTCTTCCAAGGCAACTCTGGATGGGTATGAACTGCCAGCCTTTGGAGTAGTAGCCAGGCATATACCCATTTGCAACACCAAGGACTTTGAATTTTGCTTAACAACCATATGCTTGCTTTTTAACACAGAGGAGAGGCAGGTGGAATTTCAAACACTTGGTGTGACCTAGCTAGTAGAATGCCATGTGAACACAACTGGTCCAGG